CTTCTGTGCTGTAGTGCAAACTTAAAACTGGTTCACCTGTCCCTGGTTTGGGGCTCAGCTTTTCATTATTGTTATCTGAAAATTGTGTTTAAAACATTTGAAAAAGTCTCTGAAACCAGTAAAAAGATGACATTTCCTAAAATTTATAAAACTTATATTAGGTTGTCCTTGTCATAATTCTTTTTTCACATCTCTTATGGGTTTCATTTAAAGTTTGAAGGCAAGTGTTGTAGAAATACTCTTTATATTTCAAAGTAGCACTGCATCAAATTCTAGCTTTGTGTACATGACTCCCTTTGATTCAGATGGAAATCACACACATTGAGAACCATATTTAGTCATTAGGGGAATCAAAAAGTATTAACATGCAATGACATAGTTACAAACTGGTACCCTTACTTAATAGAATGCTCGTAATTCCTCAGTTGCTTGAGCATCAGTAACTACTTTTGGCTCCTTCAGAAACACTGCGATGTAAGATACAACGGCTCTGTGAAAAACGGTGTGGCAAAAACTGTGCTACCATGAAACGTTATCAAATTCCTTCTGTTCTTTCAAACTCACAGATTTATAATTTAGGGAGGAATCATAGTTTGCACTTCACGGGGGAGAGGCTGGTATTTACTGTGCTTTGATATTTTCTAAAATACACTTTGTTGTAATATATTTTGGTATATTTCCGTTTCTCTTCCTGCCTAATCTTACAAGGAATTTGTTTAATTGTGGAAATAGCAATTGCATTTTAAGAACCTATAGATGATGTCTATAATACACATCTATCTCGGTGTATGAAATCTTTTTTAAATGATGAAATCAAGAAAGTCTACACAAATGAAAGTATTTAAAGCTACCTTCCCCACCTCCCAGAAGAATACATGGATATTCAAAGACATAATTAAACAGAGCTTTACGTATTTTTCATTTTATGATGAACAGTTTGGGAAACACTAAAATACACAGGGAATACAAATGGATCCATAATCAAACATGATACATTTCTGCCAGTTGCTTGCAGAAAGAAAACTCTTCTGTGAGATAATCTTTTTCCTTGACACCAGTTCGACTGATTTAATACTAAAAATAACTTCTCTTGAAAAATAACAACAATCACTATTTCATAAAAGCAAATTTACTTAGGGTATTTTTTATTATTGGATCTACTTTCTATTGCAATGAAGGACTTATATATTTTTTGATTCGTCTTGAAGATGTTGGAGCACACATTAAGAGAATCTCAGCTGGGCTCAGTGGTGGGAGGAACCCTTAAGCCCAGGAGTTCGAGTTGAGTCTGGGTGAGACCCCATCTCAAAAAAAAAAGGGGGGGGAAGGGGGCGGAGAATCTCATAGAACCTCTGTTCTAGCCTTTATTCTGTGAGAGGACAATTAACAAGACTTCAAATACAGAAATGCAGTAGAAAAGTATTCCACAAGCGTCAAGCTGGTAACAAAACTTAGTATCAATTCTCCTGTCTTAACTTCCAACTCTTGAGAAATCCTGTCCTACAGAATTGCTATTTGAAAATAATGTGAATTATAAACCTGACATTCCAAACGGTAAAGTCACTTTGTTTCTGCACTACTTTTGTTATGATTATGTCTTTGATTTAAACAACTCCTAGAAATAAATTAATAACCCATTCCAACTGTCAAAGATTTAGTATTACATTGAGTGTTTCGGAGGAGGTATTTTACCAAATCTCAATCTAATAAAGAACTGAATTAACAGACCTTTAGCTTACAGAAATGTATTAAGGAAACATCTGCCCTATCCTTTACCCTCTTTCAAAAACTTGCTGTTTGCTGGTCATTTGTCCACAGTTTTCTCTTATTCTTTAGTTATGCTACTGAGATTTTTGTTTCATCACTGCTGTCTTAGCTTCTGGAATAGATGGGAACAGACAGCTAAAGACTGGATGATTGGATGATTAAGGAAACTGAGAGGAAGAGTTGGGGTTAGTTTTTTCATTTTCTCTCTCAGTATTTTATAAAGTTTTTGTTATTTATTTTTCTTTTAAGGTAAAGATGGTATAGAAAACAAAAGCAGGTGTGAGAGAAGTGTGAGACTGAATTTCTCAGATCCACCTTGATTACAGTTAAGACTTAAGTTATGAGAAGCCTTGTGGAATTTAAATGATATATGAAAACTTTCCTTTTGAGGAAGATGAAAGAGACAGTTATAGATATCTACATGCTATGACTATAGGAATATATTATAGTAAACAAACAACTATTAAGAGATCAGAACAGAGCACAAAACATTTTTATACAGGTTCCCCACCACAAGCAAGCAGCTTTCTAAGATGGTTAATGATCATTAAAACCTTCCTCCTACAGTATCTACTACAAAGTTTGTTGTTTTTATTTTTTTGAGACAGAGGCTCTTCTTGTTGCCCAGACTGGAGTGCAAAGGCGTGATCTCAGCTCACTGCAACCTCCGCCTCCCGGGTTCCAGCGATTCTCCTGCCTCAGGGTCCAGAGTAGCTGGGGTTATAGGTGCCCGCCACCATACCTGGCTAATTTTTGTATTTTAAGAGAGATAGGGTTTTACCACTTTGGCCAGGCTGGTCTTGAACTCCTGACCTCAAGTGATCCACCCGCCTCAGCCTCCCAAAGTGCTGGGATTACAGGCATAAGCCACCATGCCCGGCCTACAGAGTTCTTATTTGATCTCTCAGGAATATAATCTACATATTATAAAACATGTAAAATATTGGTAATATTCATTTAATCATAAAATGATTATAGTTGATATAATTTGTTCATTTAAGTTGTTAATGAATTCGTTAGCCTTGTGTAAAACTAGCCTGTTACTATAAAAAATAACATGAACTCTTCTGTTAGTCACAAAAACTTCAGGTCCCCGAATGCAGTTATTTCCTTATAGCCTACACTTAAGTAAACAGTGTCTCTGGCAGAAACACAACACAATGAAGAACCTGGTTTCTTCAATCGCAAGTTGTTTTGTTTTTGTTTTTGTTTTGAGACAGAGTCTCACTCCATCGTCCAGGTTGGAGTGCGGTGGCAAAATCATGGCTCACTGCAGCCTCGATTTCCCAGGCTAAGGTGATTCTCCCACCTCAGCCTCCTGAGTAGCTGGGACTGTAGGCACATGCCATCACACCCAGCTAATTTTTTGTAGCTTTTGTAGAAACAGGGTTTTGCCATGTTGCCCAGGCTGGTCTTCAACTCCTGAGCTCAAGCAATCCGTCTGCCTTAGCCTCTCAAAGTGCTGGGAGTACAGGTGTGAGCCCCTGCACTTAGCCCAACTGCAGTATTAATGACAGTATATATTCCAAGGTTTAAATTCATTTCCTAGTCTTTTCCCATTTCACTGTCCTTCTTTAATTCCAGTTTGCTT